TAATACAACTACACTGGTAAAGTGAGCTGACTGTCCACTCTAAATAATGCATCAATACATCATTTCAAACCAGCCGATTGTCGCTAAAACTCCAATCATATGAAAGCATACAGTGTACCATCCCTTCCAAAGCTTGTTTTCAAAATAGAACTACTTTCGTGTGACCTTGCACCCTGACACAAACTATGACGCTTTAAAGGGTGGTGGTAGTCCTGCTGCCTACAGTTTGATATGGGACTCATAGCGATGAATACAACGTGTGTAAAATACATTGTTTGTTTACACGAAATTCAAACACTAGATGCGCAATAACCTTTTAACTCAAAGCAGCATGATTCTATGAACAAAAACACACTGACAGAAGTACATATGAATGTACAGAGGAAAGCCACATGTAGAAACAAAGTAAAATGCAAGCAGCCCTGTTTTCATAGTTTATCTAAATAGACTAAGGAGTAATTGCATAAATTTTACCTCATTTGGTAGACAAAGCTGTGACCTGTCTTCTTTACCAGAGGAATGCAAGCCCATAATGAATGGCACTGGAGCATCCAGGAAATGTAACATTGATGCTGGTAATATTGGTACGTACACATGCTGCCATGTAAATGGGAACAGTAAAACACTCAGGCACTCAGCTACTAACATCAGTCTTTGGTAATCTGGTAATACAAAAGTGTGACCACAGGAAAAGTTAACATTGATGACGACAATGACAAACACCCACAGACTCGTAGGGCAACAATGTTTTAATTTTCATAATTTGATAGCGTTTATGAGGACAACATTTTGAGAAAATCACTGCCAGCAGACTCTCTGTGTTTAGGGAAGCCCTCGTTGTTCTGCGATTTGTTCTATATGGCTCCTACAATGAATGACACATACATTGTACAAGATAAGTAATACAGGTATATACATTGTTTGGACCCCATGAAAAAATACACTGCCACAGTAATCTGCAGTTTCCCTGCCTCACAAAATTCACAATTTATGGATTCCAGTGGTAGTAAATTTGTACAAGACATGTATCTACTCACATTGAGATGCATTTACTATAATTATATTAATTAGTTCAATTGTTATGTAATAATTAATTAATATAATTAATACAATGCCACTTACCTGTACAAAGTAATAATATCTGGTTCTCTAACAACGCACATGTAAATAACTGCACAACATTATGCACACTTAATAACGAAAATAATTCCCTGAATGAATAATCGCACAGTGGTAATTCAGATGACCCCGGTCGCTGACAAACAATAGGCAGTTTAACACTTGTAAATTTCATACTTCTTCCCACAGGGGGTACCGGCACTTCATACAAGATATTATAGATGTAACTCTCCAATGGTAAAGGAGGGTTCTCATTTGATGCAACAGCTTCGTATATTTGAAGAAGGAATTTCCGAGCTGGTTGGATAAACGGCTGTTGCATGATCACACAGATGCACTTTGATGCGTATAACACATCGTTATTCAAATTGTAATCACTGAGCTTTGTATGTCCCGGTCGTAGATTAGCTTGTGGGTTGTCCCAGTAATCTGTTTCGGTTATCCGCGTCATTGTTATGGTCTTTGTTGGATTGTTACATAACTCTGCTTGGTGCATGGCGTGCAGGGATTGCATCGCCAAACATATCTGTTTGTTTTTTACCTCCTCGTAAAACGTTACCGCAGCACCATACGTTCTTGAACCGTCTTCTCGGGTGATGATAAAAGAATGGAATACTGGTTCCCTGCTGTCCTTTTGTGTTCTAAATGACAATCCTTTTGGCAAACAAAGCTGTAAATAAATTGAACAAAAGATTTTACAATGAGGCCATAAGATTAAAACATCACAAGGTACATGTACATGTACAGTATGGTTTTTGCAAAAAATCTGTC